AGCTAAATGAAGTTGGTCCGACCACTATCTATGCTACCTCAAATTTAGTAAAGTTACGCCTTGTTCTGTTGGTGTTTCAAGACCTCAGGTATGTCTTTAGCCGCTCAACGGTTTCGAACAAGTTTCTCTTTTGTTTGTGGAACACAATCTCATTCAACTAGCTGATTTAGTATTTACTTTAAGAACCAGAGTTATTAACGACTTGTTTACATAACATCGTCCGTCTAATCGCGTGAAATTATAGGTCGAGGTGGCCTGCTAAAATAGTTAACAATACTATTCAAGAATTTGGCAGGCAAAAGATCGATCGTAGAAGAGGCTGGGAGGCATCATTCAGCTGAAACCACAAGCCGTCATATTTGGGTTCAAACATGTTGGTATTTCTGGCAGAATTAAAAAAAAAAAAATTAAGTGAAATTGGGTCTGGTCCGAAGTACACTTACTTTCTGAATTATTTACCGTACCTTATTTGAAAAATAAAATTTTCAAGCGTAGTCTTTTCCAACGCGAAACAAAGAAATAGATGATCTTATGCTTACAATTATTGATAACTGAAATTTGTAAATAAACAATGCAAGATTCTTATGCAATCAAGTCGCACCACGTTTCATGAAATTTTGTTTCGTTAAACTCGTTTGTCAGTGGACTTCCAGGCCGAAGGCCAACCGCAACACAAACTTCAATTTCGTCAATGCCCAACTTACGAAGGCGAGAGCCATGAGACTTAAGTCACATAACATTGAAAACAAACTTATAACATTTTTCAAAGGTCTATGAAACACACAATTTGACTTCAAGAGAAATTTTTAAACTCTTTGAACATAAGTAGATCAGATTCTGTCGAGCCAAATTGTGCAAGTTAGAGATCAAGAATGCTTATATCGCCTTATCATAAGAGTTCTATTGAATTTAGTGCTCTATAATTGGGCTTTGAGTTCACAGTTTCTATGTGACACCTCCTTTATTCACTAAGCTTAAAATTTAATTAAAATTTTTTTTTTAATTTGCGTTAGTTAATTATTGCTCGCTGGTCACGGACTTATTGGCAACCATAGAGGCCATACAATTAAAGCTAAAAAAATGTCTATAGTAGCCAGCAGCCAAAACTGTCGATGCAGCCACATCGACGGCGCAGTACATAAGGATGAAGAATGAGGCAAAACGATGGCACTAGCAATAACAACGAAGCCAAATAGAACAACAAAACAAAATAAAATAAAAGCACTAGCTACATAGAGACAGATGAGTATAGCTAACCAAAATGAATGTGTAGCTGGTTGCAACGCCACCAACGGCGCTACTGCGACAACAACACAACTGTTGCAACATCTAACTGCCCGATAGGCGCAGCGTCGGCGACAGAGGCAGCGACGGCGAATCGGTTTCTGCGGGTCAAAATGTACGTATGTAAAATAGCAAAAACCAAAAACAAATCAAAAACGTTACAAAAAATTTAAAAAATGGAAAAAATTGTGAAGAAAGAGATTCGCTAAAAATGGAAAAATATACAAAAGGGTAAAAAAAATAAGGAGAAACTTTCAAATAAAAAAATAAGCGTAGTTTTGAGACGCACGGACGAAAGGGATATATATGAAAGTGAGAAAAAAGCAAAAACAAGGTGAAAGTGCATAAAAAATGCAGGACTAAATATATTATATAACGTTGTGAGAAGAAGAAGAAGAAGAAGAAGAAGAAAGCGACAGGCGCACGAATAAACGGCTATGAATAGTAATAGTGGAAGGAGCGGGGATGATGAGCGTCTAGGTGTTAGTAATGGGTGAGATAACGGAGATTGTGGATTGTGGGAGACAGTAAAAAAATACAAAAGCCGGCGATGGTCACCATCTTTTAGGAGCGATTTTGCTCTGCAATGTTCAATGCATTTAACTGGACACATGTACACATTCATATGTAGGTTTATATGTATTTTATGATTATTTAGTACCTTTAACTGATTTGGAAATCAATCTCTGCTAATTTAGCTGCAACGACTGTGTTGCAGGGATGACCAGGCCTATTGTTGCCTGCAACGCTGCTGCAATAACCAGCAATTATAGTGAAGTAGCAAATTATAAACATCTATATTTTTCACATTCCATTGTACATATATACACACAAATCGACATATAGGCAATATCATTACTAACATCATCACCAACATCAGCTTCCGCTGTCGCTTGTCGACCCCAAATGTCGTTATTAGCCAACAACAACACCAATAACAACTATGTGCAAGCAAAAGCACCCTTAATACAATGCAACAATACCAGCAACAACCGACATCATAATAGAAAAATCAGCAGCGAGTCACATTTACCGCCTTCCTCACCGAGCCGCGGCTCACGAAAAAGCACGTGAAACAGTCCGGTCCAGACCAGTTAGTGAACGCCAAAAATAAAAATAAAAATAAAAATAAAAGTAAAACAACAAAACAAACTCAACTAGCGAAAGAAAAAGTGTAATGCAAAATATAAAAAACACACAACAACAATAACGCGTAAAAAAATGTGTATTTGCTGTTGCTGCTGTTGCTTTTCGTAACAACTTTTTATTATTCAAAAGCACGCGCAAGCCCATCCAATATGGAGCAACGGGTGTTAGCGGACACAGTCGTGTCTGCTTTGACTGTTTTGTGAATAGTGTGCAATTGTGGCAAAAGCGTGCAAAACAATGCGCCAACAGTGCGAGTGGCGGCACTGTGTGTCTGTTGCACTGTCGCAGAGCACAAAATGAATGTCGAAATTCCCCGTTATGACGCTCTACTTGTATTATGTTAGTTCTCGTTAGGTTATACTAGCGGTCTGTTAGCTATACATACCCTTACAGGTCCTTAGTAATGCCAGATCGATGTTCAGTTTAATTTGACCTGAAATATTCGTCATATAGGACGTCAACACTTTCTGTTTTCCGGCAGCCACTACATCTAGCAAGGAGGCACTTCTAAGAACGCTCTCTTGTGCTCTATTACTTCATTACCTTTCAAGGTTAGGTTATAATGTCAGTGGATGTGAGCAAGTACCAGTACCCTTCAGATTTCGCCCGAAAGTGCTTCCCTGAAAAATGTGTGGACTCCTTATTAGTATTTTAAACATCTCTTACATGAGAAATTGTGTTTGAAATATTTGGTAAATGTCAAATTATCAGCTGTTCGTTACATATCACTGCGTCGAAGACGCCTACCTTCATGTCTCAACCAAAAACCTCCGACATTAGCGCTACGTTTTTATAACCTCAATATGGTATATTAGTTTACCACGAAGTATGTAACACCAAGGAAAACATCGGACACCCTATGGAATACAGATATTTATAAATGATTAGCATGACGAGTTGAGTAGATTTATCCGTCTCCTGCATATACACTAATTAGTCCCTAAGTTATTGAGATATCGATCTGAAATTTGCACACGTCCTTTCCTCTCCAATAAGCTGCTCACTTGTTGGAACCGGTTATATCGGATCATTATAAGATATAGCTTCCTTACAAACTGATCGATCAAAATCAAGTTTTTGAATGGAAAAAATTTTTTGAATATTATCTCTTTCATATGTTGGTCGCAGCTATGTCTTAGATGGTCCATCCATTGAGTCCAATTTTCGATGACTCGTTCGAGCATTTCGACTGGTAATTGACGAATGACACGCGTAATGTTTTGCTCCAAGGCTTGAATCGAAGCGGGATTGTCCGCATAGACTTTTGGCTTTACATATTCCCACAACAAAAATTCTAATTCTCTGATATCACACGATCTTGGTGGGCAATCGACCGTCCCAAAACGTGAAATTATATGCTCACCAAAGTGTTCTCTCAATAAATCAATTGATTGATGCGGTGTGTGGCGCCGTCTTGTTGAAACCAAATGTTGCCAAGATCAGGAGTTTCAATTTCAGGTGTCAAATTGCCGGTTATCTAGGCGCGATAACGGTCGCCATTGACGGTTACGTTCCACCGGCATCATTTTTGTAGAAATATGAGTCGTTGATTCCACCGGCCCACAAATCACACCAATACTTTTTTTTTGTTTTTTTTTTTTGATGAACTGGCAGCTCTTGAATCTGTACAGGTTGCTTTTTATCTAAAATGCAGCAAATTTGCTTGTTTACATACCCATTAAGCCAGAAATGGGCCTCATCACTTAACCAAATTTGGCACTCTTGGCCCATAGAGCGTAGCGATGTCGCTTGGGCTTCAGTTCTTGCACAAGCTGTATTTGTACGCTTTCAATTTAAGATTTCGACGTAAAATGTGTCAAATCGTTCCATACATTCGAGTTGCTGCGCTGAATCGACTCTCCACGGTCTTCGTGAACACTCTCAGCTACGGCCGCTATATTTTCTTCAGTGCGCGCTGAACGTTGTCTATTCGGTAAAATATTATCCAATAATGAATGCTGGGTTTCAAGATGGGTGATGGTGTTGCGAATAGTACGCCAATTGACCATAAGTTGAGCGAAGCGTGCGAAACACATTCTTTACAGAACATACATTTTCGTAATAAAGTTGAACGATTTGTAAACGTTGTTTAGGCATAAGTCTTTCCATGATAAAATGCCAAACAATACTGAACAAAAATAACATGCGAACTTGACCCGATTTACACGTGCTGTCAAAAAGAGGCTATTGAAAAGAGTACCTGTACTTGGATCACCTGTCATTATTACCCAAGGCAACATACATATATCTGCCATATAAACTGAGCGATCAAATTAAGTTCTTGTGTGGAATCTTTTGTATTTGTGAAGAGTGTTATAGTTTGCGTGCAACCGAGGATAACTTTATTTTTTTGTTTCAAATTTCGTGATTGTCTAATTGGCTATTTAAGTTTAGTCATTAAAATCTGAAGATACAACCGAAAACTGGTAGCAAAAATTAAAGAAAATTGTTTAAAGAAAAGGAGCGCCAATTACTTGGCAGTATCAGTTTGTTGTCGAAAATCTAAATTTATGAATTTTTTTATATTCTAAAATAATTTTTTACACAAAAGTAAGCAATAAAATTAATTAATTTTTTCATTAATACATTTATTTAAGCAGCTAAAATGGTAGCATTTATAGGTATGCTAGATAACATTATATAAGCATTCCATCCTCAAGCAGCATTTATCAATAAATACCCTTCAAGTATACATAATCTGTACATACACATCTAATCGGATTCACATGAGCCATTAAAGTTCCACAAATCAGCAAAGAAGCCTTCGATCAACGGTCCGATAAGAATACGTATATTGGTGCGGCTGCAAAGCAAAGTGCTTCTAAATATTTTTATTATGGTGTAGATCTAAATATTGAACTATTTTATATAATATAATTCGAATTTTAATTATAGCAAATATTAGACAGAACGACTTTCAGATGCACGAAGAGCAAAAACAATTGTAATAACATGTGGCTATGCGACCATTTAAAGTTAATTGTTGCTCGTGAAGCCGTCAGAATATTGTCAAACTATCGGTTTATTACGGGCATCCACGAGAGCGCGTAACATTAAGCACTTAGCGATGGCATAGGTGCGCTTGCAAGGACAGGTCTCACGAGCTAAAAAACAATTAGAATCATATACATTAAAAATCTGGCGCTCCGGCAGCAATAACTCAGTAATCTTACAGCCTTCATTTTGGCAGACGGGTATCGAGTCTCCAGTGGCTGGCCACATAGTTTGCCTGATCAGTGTAGGATTCAGTTGCCAATTTCGCAAAAGGCCCGTGTTCTCCATGTAGCATTTCAAGAAGCACTACAGGCAACGGTTAGTGAAAGTTTATTGATAGTTCTTCAATCACACTTACCATGCCTGTTTTGTCGGTTATGTTCGGCAATTCTGCGGTTTCATTGAATTGCTGAATATACTCTGGAAATATTTCCAAAGATATCATATATTATTTGTACCGAATGTACGATATGTTTGCGCCTAAACTTACCTAACGGTACTGTGAAACTGGCGTTACAAGTGCGCACTACTTCCTCAAAGTCGAAGCCTGACACGTTTGCAGCGCGCACGGACGGTGTGGTCGTCTCCATGGATTGCTGCTTATCCAATTTGTTATTCGTTGCATCTGTTTGCGGATTTGCCTTAGTTCCAGCAAGAACCCGAAGCAAGAGCAGTGGGAGAGCTAGACTGAGCTGTCGATGATTGATCATTTTTTTAAGTTTCTGTGTAAACTATTTTGCTTTCGAAAACCGATTTTCACTGAAACTTGCTCAGATTGTTACTGATATTTAAATGAAATATTTTTTTTAATAATTTATACCTATTTATACCTACTTATTGTGGGTGAATAATTGCCACTATGCCACTATGCGCCACTATGCGCTACATTCGGCCTAATTCTTTCATATTTGAAGTCTTTGAAAATCAAAAATTATAAAATTTAATTATAGAAAAAATATAAAATAAATTGAAAAAAAACAAGAATAAAAATGTTTTATAATATTTCATTCAGCATAACTGTTTAGTAATGTGTCAACTGAGGGAAACTGTAAAAAATTTTAAGAAATATAAAAGAGATGGAAGTATTTTCGAATTTAGCTATGAACTATTTTTGTGCAACAAATTTGCTTAGAAGCCCTTACCACATACGCAGTACTCATATGATTACTTTCAATCACAATTATATAATAGTTCCGTTATGCTGACCGTAGCATTCATTTAAGGGGTTTCGTGTGTGACAAGTCTGGCAGCAATTTATTAAATTATGAAAAAGGTAATTTATTTGATTGCTATTTGTTATTCAAACTACAACAATGAGTTTAGGCTATTTTGTGTATTTCGTAATATTTTTGCGATTCTTTGCAATCGAATGCATTATTCAAAATACAATATCATTTTTGAATTAACAACCTGCGATTTATTTCTAAAACCCAATTAGCGCCGAAGCACTAATCGTTTGAGTACGTGACTGCTAGTCGCTGAGTCGTGGGTTCGTAACATGATTGCGGCGCATAAAAGTTCAATCCATTCATCGATTGAAGTTTTGGTCAAATCACCAAATAATTACATATAAGTCAGTTAGGCATTTACATGCGGCATAAAATTGCCTTGCTTCAGAAATTGGGCCAAATACCTACATGGGGCTAATAACTATTGTATGATTTAAAATTATATTAAAATATTCATGAATTATAGTCAAATTTATTTCATTTTCATTGGCGTACATAATGCAACAATTTAAAATAGTTTACAAATATTTAGTCTAAATAAGGTTATGTGACGTGTTTGACATCTGACATGCAAAACAGAAATAATAATAATTGGAGTTGGTTACCATATCATTTTGTTATGAATAAATTAGTATTTCAGTTTTAAATTGAACGTTTTTTAAATGCGGTTTTTCTAATTGACTTCTAACGTGTGAGGGCCTATCAATACAGCGATGTTAACCTTGCTAAGAACTACTAGTTCAATGGATCTTTTACGTTCCACTCTGGACCAGTACCCTTCGCAACCCCTCAAGTGCTGGTTGCTGACCACCGCTTGCTAAGCTCGCGCGAGACCCATAAGTATTCAGCGCCCGAATTGCAAGTTCATCGGCTTTGCAGTTTCGACGATTCCGCTGTGGTCAGGCACACAGACAAGTTTAATATGGAACTTAATGAGGACAGGAGGGGAACGTACTCTGAGGCCTATCAGGATTTTAACGGGTCGTGGTATTAATCCAACAGCCATTTTTGCAGATTTTTATCCCTACAGAATACCTCGACTACCAGCCCACGTTTAAACCAAATCCGAGTACGTAATCCTAAGTATATTTCGTGTCGGTCAGGAGTCAATGGTCCGTAGGAGTTCTACAGTAATTTGGCATTCCCCAGGATACACCGCGTGGAGGCAAACCTGTCGTACTTTCCGGTTTAGTGCCTTAGTCACTTATAATAATTTGTTCGATTCCAAAGATTTGGACGATTACTGTCAAAAAGCTGGTAAGCAGTTTGCTGGCCAATATGGTTTTTAACTGGACGGTAGTGGGCCATTTAAACTAGATATGTGTAAGTATTTTTGGTAACTTTACATTACAAATCTTGAAGTAAAGAAATTTACTAACAAAATAGTTTGCCAAATATCACGCTGAGCTTTCAATCTTTTAACTGAGTTTTTAAAGCTTCAACTCAACTTTTAATAATAATAATGTTTTCGATTACGTCAGTGAAGTAAACTTGAGTAAACTTCCCTGTAGCTTTCAAAAACACCATTATACACACTTTCTCTCTAAAAATATCCATTTTCGGAGTCCTTTGGGCTCGCATTGACAATGAATATTGACCGTACTGTCCTAAAAGCATAAATTCCAGATGATTTTTTTTTAATATAAACATTACTTAAGGATTAGCTTTTAAACCAAAATAACTACTTTATATAGTTAAAGTTTTTGACTTTGCTGAGTCCACAAATTACTCATTCTTCGCTCAGTAAACTCTGTTGCAACCAGCAAGTCTTAACATCTTTCTTTCAAAACTATTTCTTTTATTAAACATTTAAGTATTTTTCTTTCAAGAAACCATCAGTAGTAGCCCACTGTTCATGCGTGCGGTCAGCCAGTCCGTGCTTTGTCGGCCACTCAGTCGGCAATCGGTTTCGGTACTTCTAATGGTGAGGCCGTTGGAGTACGACTAGCAGTGGGTTGACAGCAAGCGCCATCGCCACCAACACCATCGTCAGCACAGTCTGTGGAGTGAGGCTCGTATATATGTATAGGTGCTCGGCTAGCTGAGCTGGCAATTGTATTGGTGTTGGTGTAAAGCGCCGATAGACAGTTGAACGCATCTCTCGCCTGCGACGAGGTGAGCCGTGTGTTGTATTGTGAATGGATGGCATGGCATAGCATGGCACAGATGAATGGTTAACGGCGCAAATGGTGGGGAGCGGTGCCGATGGTGATTGTACACATTGGGGAAAAATGCGCGCGCTGCAAAAAAATTAGAATGCAAAACATTTTTTCCTGTGCTTGTGTGCGACTTTTTGATGTATTTTTTTCTATTTTTTGAGTTTTAAGGCTTTGCCATCGCCGTTAACTGTGTCGTTGCCTTTGCCTTGCTGCTGCAACTCCTTTTTGATTTTTTTCATAGCCAGATAGCTGATTTTTGTACCTTTTTCTTTTTTTTTTTCTAAAGAAAGCCGGTGAGACGAACGAGCGGTAGTGCAACAGACGAGCGCGCCACTGCTGCGCTTTGTTGATGTTAGATTCTTCTTATTTTCTGTATTAGTGCATAAATGTGTAGTTGTGGTGTGGCATTCGCTGAGCTGGAGTGGTGTTTGGCATTGCTAGACAACAGGAGATTTGGCTTTGACATGATGCCGGCCTAAATTTTTTTTTATGGTTTTTGAATAACTTGACACAACCGCACACGCGCACACACACACAAAGGTACCTGCATACAATACCTTGGGGTTGTTCTCGCTTTGAATACTATGCTTACTGTGTTGTTGGTTTTATTCAGCAAATTTTGTAGCTCGAGCAGTTGGTGGGTGTCGAGCCATTCGGCTAGCGGGTTTACTGCGTTGGTACGGCAAGAGGCGGATGCGTCTGTGCTCTGAGTGTGGATGAAGCGGTAGAAAATATTTAAAAATGCGCTTTTGAATTTTTTCTCAGTGAAATCGGAGAAAAATGTAAGCGACGAAGGAGTTTAGTGGGTGGGTCGAGAAATGCCGTTGGCTAGGTATCTCAAAAGAGTAAGGTAGTGAATGTAAAAGGAGTAGAACGAATTGAAAAATTACGGAAAAGGCAGTAAAGGTTTGTTGTAGTGCCAAGCAGCGCTCCAATGTAGATAATAACATTGTGGAAGGTGATGATGAAGTTGACGAAGGATGTGTTTTTGATGAAGGATACTTTTGAGAGCTGTGGTAGAAAAACTGGCGAATATGTCTAAATGTATTTGGAAAAATCTTAGCAAAAACTTATGCCGTATAACTGCTGCAAGGTGCGACAATAACAACGGCAGCGCGAGTAATGCTAGCTCGTTGAAGTCGTGAACTTTAGGATTGTGTGCGAGCGTTTATTTTCGAAAGGGTTGGAAATTTATTTACACAAGTATATTTACATTTCTGTTTATTTGTTTCCTAAATTATACCTGTTGGTGGTTTAAGTTAAAGCGGTGAATTGGATGCGTAATTTTCATTCGTGAGTTTCTAATCTTTAAGTGGAATTCGAACTTCTGGCTAGAGCTTCAAAAATAAATTTATTGATTTAATCATTTTCAGCCCTGCATTTATTTAGTAAGATTAAGGTTGCATTAAAAAATAAACTAGTTCCAAATTTTTTCAATTTTTATCTATAATATTACTGTATCGATTAAAGTTCATATGAGTATACTAGTGAGATATATTTCAAAATATTTGCCCCCATTTGCAACAACTGATGAGCAATAGAATAAAATAGAAAATAAGGACTAAACCAAACTCTAAAAATAACTATATAAATAAACAATAAACAATAAACGAGAATATCTTTTTTTATAAAGCATATATTTTAAAAATATGTACATATACTAAAAGGCATATCAATACGCAAGCCAAACTAGGAAATAAATTCGTCAACTTAAAGAAATTTATTTCATAACAACGAATTATATAAAACTCTTAGCGTGAACATTTTAGTCCCTTGACTTATATTTTTCAATTTTAATATTCTGTATATTATCCACGAGACTTTTTATTGCCATAATCCTTTTAACTAGATTTTCCAAAATATTTAGACTGATATTTTGCCATGCTATAAGAGTTTGCTCCCATAGTTCGTTGGTGGTCTGCGAACTTCGACTACTAAAAAAAATTTTCGTTTTAAAAAATTTCGTTATATAAATATGCTCTATAGGGTGGAAGTCTGAGTATTGTGTAGGTCAACAGTCAACATCCCGACGCCATGAGTGATCCTCCACCAAATTTCATTGTTTGACATACTCGTAGGCTGTGATTCTGCACATCAATTTTCTTATCAATCCACGTTCATATGCGGAGAATTTTAACTTCATCGGACCAAGTGGCTTTTATCCAGTCGTCAACGGTAAAATGTTCATAATTTTTAGTGAATTTTGAATGGGCCTTACGATGTTTTCATGGTTTTTTTATTACCCTTCTGACTTACAGATCATTGGTTTTGCGAAACTTCGTATCTTCTTGTGACTGACATCAACTTCTTGGTCCTTCTTAATAACTTTATCAGTTTCCGCCTTAGCGCCTGGCTATTCTTGCTATCGTCGAAGATACATTTTTCGCAAGGTTTTTGCTTTTTACTTCTAGAAACTGAATCTTGGTGTTTCTTAATCTCAAATTTTCAAGTGAAACGTAGAAAAATATCTGACAAATTTAAGTAAGTCCAACTGAGTACCCCTCAATAACACGGTAGATTTGATAAAACTGCTTTTTCTACCCCATTTGCCAAATTGGTGTTAAA